TTCATCATGTCTGACTCTTCCAGACCAAAATCAACTGGTCACGGGCAAGCCAAGCGTTCCACATCTGGTGACAATGTGAAGGTGATTTAAATTTTGTTTACTTTAACATTTATATTATATATTATGTTATAGCCTTGCCTCTAGATTTAGATTGTATATATAATATATAAAAGTTCTAGATAAGTAAGGCAGGCCACCGCTATTCTCACCCCACCGCTATTCTCACCCGGGGTGAGAATAGCGCAGGCAAGCCTTTTGTTTGGCTATTCTCATCCGGTGTGTGTGCGTTCACCGCCTAGCTAGGGCCCTAGGCCAACCAGGGCAGCGTCCACCCTGAACCACAGAATTCTACACTGTGATAACAGAATTTTAGTATTCTGTGCCGTGAACAAACGTTCCAGCACTCTTGTTTTACTCTGGCTAAAACTAAAAGCCAAGCGTGCAATTAAATTGTCTGTTGGTAGTCTGTGTCTGTGGGCAGTGGAGAGAGAGAGAGAAAGAAAGAGAGGACGAGTAGCGTGAGAACTTCTGGGCCAAAGAAAATGGCAACCCACGTAGTTCGGCTCGATTCGAAAAGTATAGCCGTAGCCTCTTTGTAGGCAACCAAATTAATTTACTTTTGACCTTTGTTTAACATCATTTTTTAACTTTGTTTTGGTCAGTTTGATCGTCCACACCGATAGACAGAGAGGCCTATTCAGAAGGCAACCTCTATTCTCACCCGGGGTGAGAATAGTGCAGGCGGGTCTTGTGTGGCTATTCTCACCCGGTGCGCGTGTCAACAAATTTTGCGTTCACCCTAAACCACAGAATTCTACACTGTGATAAGAGAAAAATTGTAGAATTCTGTGCTGTGAACAAACGTTCCATTACAACTGTACTTGTAGCCTACTAAAAGCGTACAATTTTGTCTGTGGGCAGTGGAGAGAGAGAGTGAGAGAGAGAACAAAACAAAATGGCGACCCGCGTAGTTCGGCTCGATTCGAAAAGTTAAATAGCCGTAGCATCTTTGTAGACAACCAAATTAATTTACTTTTGTGTTTTAACATCATTTTTTAACTTTGTTTTGGTCAATTTGATCGTCCACACCGATAGACAGTATTCAGAAAGAGACAGAGAGAGAGAGAAGAGGGGAGGAGTAGATCTTGCGAGAACTTCCGGGCAGGTGAGAATAGCCACTTTCTATTCAGAAAGAGAGAGAGAGGGGAGGAGTAGATCTTGTGAGAACTTCGGGCAAAACAAAATGGCGACCCCCATAGTTCGGCTCGATTCGAAAAGTGAAATAGCCATTGCATCTTTGTAGACGATCAAATTAGATCTAGCTGTACTTTTGTGCTGTAACGTCATTTTTTCTTTTATAGTCATCAATCTGATCATCCGCACCGATAGACAGTATTCCGAAATTAGGAAAAACAGGTCTTGTTTCACACCGGGTGAGAATAGCCAACGCTGGCAAGTCTCACCCGGGGTGAGAGGTCGATCGTATTTTTATTCTCACCCCGGGTGAGGATCTTAGCCACTTCCTAAGTAATATTAGATCTAAATTATTTTGTCTATTAATTAAAGGAAATTTGGCGATACGCCAGATCTTTTTCCTCCGAACACTCTGGAAAATAAACTTACGAACTCTTTCTCCAAACGTTTTTTGTTGTTGTTGTTATTTGTGATTGGAGTAGCCTTGCGCGGGCGCATGTGTGTGAGAGAGTGTGAGAGGGTGTGAAAGGGGGGGACGGGGACGTTTAGGGATTTTTTTGTAACTAGTACAACAGTAGTCTCCGCCTAAGGTTCGGGTGCTCGGGAGCAAGGAAATGCGGGATCTTAAGCGAACCGGGATCTTAACAGACAAACCCAGAGAAGAATCTATGGCGACCCATGCAAAGACTCACAATTGGTAAAATGGTCTGCCTCCACTCTAAAATGAACTGACGTGACCACTTGGTGGGTTTATGAACCGAACAAAGAGAGGTTAACCTTGATGACCTATACATAGAGTGCATAGTGGGATGAGGCGTGCCATTTTCACTTATTATTTATATATATATATATATAACTGTAAAAAATTTACAGCTTTCCATCTCTGACCGAGTTCCCCCCCACCGTCTTTGTCGTTGTAATACACCATTACACATTGTGAACACTTCAATTAAAATTCAGTCTGTCTCGCAAATTCAGGAGTAGAGACAACTTCTGCAATGGTCAGGGAAGAGTTCACAGTTAAATGTGATCCCACCTGGAGCGAACATGTAGGCCCTACCCACCCAGCGAGAGATGTAAGTTTAGGGGGAGAGCTCAGGTGTGAGTGCGATGTTCGGGGAAAACAAAGGAGTCGGTCAGTTCACACCCCGGTATGATCCCGTCTGGGGCAAACATTGTATCGCTTCATGGAGTTTTACGTGTATGTGATCACATTCACGATAGTGGCTGATCTTTGATGCGACGGATAGTTTTGTTTTTTTATTGATCTCAACTTTTCACTCTTGGTTGTTTGGCTGCCTCGCCCGCGTTTTTGTTCCGCGAAATATGATTTGAAATGCGGGATCTTAGCGGAATGTAGACTTTCAGATTGAATCAGAGCGAGATCTTAGGGGTGACTTTTAGTAAAAATTCTGTTTTCTTAAAACAGCGAGATCTTAAGCGAACTGGGATTATAAGCAGTGGGATCTTAGGCGGAGACTACTGTATTTGAATTTGCTTAAATAGAGGTGACTAAATTCTTTTAATGCAAAATAGGTGAAAATTCTAATGCCAAAGTTGAGCAGTCTTGTTTTCGGGCTGTACTTTTTGAAGGCATTTTCAAATGAAGTATAATCCAGGAATGTTGCCACAACCAGAATTGAAGTTTCTGAATATTCAGATTTTCGATGCAGAAAATGCTTCTTCCCAGTCCTCGCAGAATGGCTGAATGAAAGATGGTGCCGAACTCTCGCTACAAGAAGTCTCGAAAATGGAAACCATTGGGAGAACTCTTAAATAGAGTTCAAGTTTTTTTTCTCGAGCGTTCGGAGAAATAGTCACTTCGTCGAAAATATTCCAAGCAGTCTAGATTCTAGATCTAGCCGGCTAGCCTGCCAGTCTAGCCGTACTTATTTAACGCCCTCTATTAGAGAGAAACCTTTTGAGTACACAGGTCAGGTCTCATCATTATTTTATTGAGGTTTAAAATACATCACTGTCAGTAAGGCACCTTTTGGTTTCAACTTTAGGTATTGCAAACTACAATAAATTTATCGAAGTGATTATTTCTCCGAAAGCTCTGGATAATAAACCTGAACTCTATTTCTCCGAACGGTTTCCGTTTTCGAGTTTTGTTGGTTATTTGCGAGAGTTCGGCATCGTCTTTCATTTTGCCATTCTCAGTTCTGCGAGGACTGGGAAGAAGCATTTTTTTACATCGAATTGAATTTCTAAAGCTAGAAATTTTTAGTTGTCTGAATATTCAGATACTTCAATTGTAGTTGGGGCAACGTTCCCGGACTATACTTTGTTTGAAAATGCCTTCAAAAGGTAGGCCCCTACTGCGAGAAAACACAAGACTGCTCGACTTTGGCAGTAACCTATTTTGCATTTAGTCACCCCTATAGCAAAAACTAAATCACACCAAAAAAAATCCCGTTTACACCTTATACACACGCACACACACGGTCCATTCCATTCGCTAATAATTTTTAAAAAATCTTGAGAACGGAAACCGTTAGGATAAATTGAGTTCAAGTTTATTATCCCAAACGTTGGGAGAAATAGAGCCAGCCTAAATTTATTTACAATTCAGTAGGCCTATTTTTTTGCTGTTTGACGATCTAGCCAAATTCATTATATTTGAGTACGGCTAGCCCAGCCGTCATTTTAAAACTAACACTAAGTATGGCTAGCCTCTTCCTTCAGGTAAAATTATTATTAAGGTAGTGAAGGCCGTTTTAAAGTTAAAGCGGCCGGTGAGGGTACCCCAGCACCCATTGGCGGATCGACTCTTCAGATCTAGTCTAATTACAAACCGATTGCCCAACTCGCAGCTTTAGTCAGGCAATCGTTTTGTTGCTATGTTACAATGGCCGCTTTGAGCCTTCATCAATCTGGCTTACCCCGCCTTCCAAACCGAACTGATTGTGCCAATGGAAACTGGGTGTTGTACTCTCTCAGTTAGGTTAGGGGTAGTCGTGGTGTGCGCTAATCAATAATTAATGCAGCCAGTACTCAGTACTTGTTAAGACCTACTTCTTGCCTTAGTAAGTACTCTTAGAATTTTTTACCGCTTAGTTAGGCCTAAAGGTTAAGGTGTTCGCCTCTCATTCAAAGGTCCCGGGTTCGAATCCGGCTCATCATCATCATCATCATCATCATCATTGCCTTTCTCACCCTGCACCATGGTATAGGCCTCGGACAAACACCTTCCACCTTTCTCTATCCTGGGCTAGCCTCTTGATGTTTTTCTATGTCTTTCCACTTTTCTGTACATCGATTTCTGTGATTCTTCTTCAGGTTCCCCGCTGTCTTCCCCTTGATCTCTTTCCCAAAATTTTCTTCCCTAAAACTAAAATTGTCTCCTTTCACTTCCTTTCTTGTTCTCTAACAATGTTCTCTTGTCTGATTTCGTCTCCGCTTTCTGCTCCCTCCTCTGGGCTCCTGACTCTTTCTGCAGCCTTCTACTGCTTCTCCTTGGCTCTTTCTAACTGCTGTCTTTCAGCCACACCTCTGATCTTCTAGTAGAAAAGATCTACTCCTAGCCTTCTCTCGGACAAAGGCGAAAAATCTCGGAGGTCCTGTGTGTTCAATTTGTGCACGTTAAAGATTCCTTGGTAGTCCAATTATAAGATTTTAAAGAGTAGGCTTCGGCCGCCACCCGGGCAAAATTCCTCTAATTTCCTACCGAGTACTAAAATCGATATTGGCCTGTATTGACTTGCACCCAGCCCTAGTTAGGGGTCAGGTTAAGTACCATAAAGGGTAATGGACCCTGCTGTGAAGATGTAGGCCTGCTTAATTTTACTTGTAGTGTACTGTTTTGATGTTGTAGGAATTTTCCCCTCACTAAGTGTAAGTTTGCTGAAAATAAACGCTAGAAAACTATATTTTCTCCTTGACAATGGGTGGCCGTCTTTGACAGTTTCACTGTTTGTGTTAGTTTAAGGTTTCTAGAAGAAATTGGTTTGTTTAAAATTATAAATCAATTAAGAAATGAGGTCAAGAAGTGTTGTAGTGTAAATTTAAACCTTTTTTGGTAAAAAAATGATCATGGAGTCTGAGAGATTTGTCCAACCAGACACTCACATTCATAAAATCATAAATTTTATGCAATAGAATATTATTATAAGCTCTTTTTCTACTTCCCATATAAGTCTTACACATGACACATTATAATGGTGATTAAAATGTATATATATATAATGCCATTAAATTACCCCAAAACATGAAGTGAAGTTTATCATGAATAAAATGATTTGGAGGATTATTTTACTCTCTCGCAAAATTTTTAGTGAAAATACCAATTTCTATGCTATATGTATGGACCATGGAACCTTTACATTTTAAGATATTACCATAACCAAGAAAAGTTGTCTCTAGTACTAGAAGGGAGTAGAAGTAGATGCGAAAATTAAACTCCATCATCTTTTTTACAGTTTGAAACCCACTCAGTGAACTTTGTTCTGGTTTGCAGGTTGTGGTGAGGATACGACCGCCAAATGAGGCAGAAGGAGAAAGGTTCCACAGTGTGACGGAAGCAATAAGTGATCACATGCTTGTTTTTGATCCCAAAGTTCAGAGGCCTATGGGATTTCTCCCTCCTAACCACAGAGATGTCAATCGGAGACGCTTCAAAGATCTCAAGTATGCTTTTGATTATGTGTTTGGTCCTTCTTCGTCGAACAAAGATGTCTTTGAACAGACCACAGGGAGCATTGTGAAAGGAGTCCTCAATGGATACAATTGTAGCGGTAATGTTCTTAAGTGGTTGTTTCTTATACTTTTTTCTATGCAATTCATGACTTCATTGTGGTTTTTTGCAAACCTAAAAGATTTGATATGATGGAAAGTCAAAACTTTTATCACTTTTTCACCGCTTGGTATTTATAGTATCAGGGTCACAGTTCCTGATAGATCTCCAGTCTCATGCATTCATGTCATGTTTAACCCTTTCGATATGAAGCATAAAAGTGCCTTCACTGGTGTGCCGAAATGTAGAAAATTGTGCAATTTTGTGACACGTTAGGAATGTAGAGTTCATGAGGCATTCAAGGGGCTAAAATGTAAAATGAGACTAGAGAGAATTAGGGGAAAAAAGAATCATAGAATGCTAATCACCACTTTAAGTGTGTTTTAGTTCAGTGGTTGGAGTACGCCACTGGTAGGTCCTACTTTTTTACTTCACCTCTAGAGCTATTGTTTTGGTCAGTCTTTCTCTTTCCCCGCACTAGATTACATTTTCTATAGCTATAGTGTTGACGTGCTTTTATGCCATTTAACATTTGCAATGCTTTTCATTGTCGACACCTTTTATTTGTGTCGCAACGCTTTTGAATCTGGCGCTCGTCAATTTTGGATATGGAGTTATTGATATCATCTTAAAGCCTTCTATCCATTTGCCATGCTTTTTTTATGAAAAAAATATCCATTTTTCTTTTGTATAATTCAAGATATTGAGCAATTCAATGAGGTGGGGGTGACCTGGTTTCAGAGGAAAAATTAGCGAGAAAGGACACTAAAGTTGCGTTATTTTCTTATCTTGAGAGTCCACGGAAACTGAGAGTTTTACCCCTTTAATCAATGTTTTTCGGTAAAATCCACATAAAAATGTGTTCTTTAATGGTCATGAAAGGTGTTGAGCCAAAAAACAAAAATTCAATAAAAATTCCAAAAACATGCGGGAAAATGCCAATTATTTCTTCACTACCATTATTTTGACTGGCGCCTGATTTCACCACGCTGCCTCACATTTTCTTCTTTGCAGTATTTGCCTATGGTGCAACAGGAGCTGGGAAAACGCACACAATGTTGGGCAATTCTCAGGAGCCAGGAGTCATCTACCACACCATGATCGATCTCTACAAAAGGATCAACGAACAAAGAGACGAAAAGTGCTTTGATGTTGCTGTCTCCTACTCTGAGGTTATTTCTTTTTTAAAAATCTTTTTTCATTATCAAAGCTCCTGTAACCTGTTGACGGTTGGTATCAGCGTTTTGGGTGTAATAGAATTACTGACTCTCTCTCTGCCATTGCACACAGAAGATGTGGGTTCAATTCCCGAGTGAGGAAGTTTTTTATCAAGCGTCTCCATCATTGTCTCTTGGTATGTTGTATCCCACTCAGCTGAATTTGCCCAGGACTGGTAAAGTTAAAAGAGCCCGCCTCCAAAATGATCAAAGTAACTTTGTTGATGTGTGTATGAAACATACAGTGAAACCTCGTTAAACCGTGCAACAGATGAGCATACAGTTGGCAGTACAGCAAGGCTGGCGGTATAACGAGATACCACCGGTTGCCATTTTGACTAGTGGTAGATTGGTAGAGACTTGAGACAAGTTGTGGCCAGTCTTGCCTCATCGCGTTCTGTCTTCCACGATTGCCAGCCCAGCTATAAAATACAGGGTTGGAAATTTTCCGTAAATTTACGGAAATCCGTAATTTTGATTTGCTCCGTCATTTTCCGTAAGTGTCTTTTCAATGGTGAGTCATTTTACATGTGTACTAATCTACAAATTAATATAAGTGTATTTTTCCAAATCTGTATAGCCCGTGAAAAGTTCAGTAAATTTTGAACCGATCAGTTTCCATCCCTGAAAATAAGTAGCAGCTGATTACTTGCACAGCTCAGCTCCAGCTGAACTTTAAGTAAGAATTGAAAGAAGTTAGAATCAGACGTTAGGCTGTATGTGTCAAGGACCTTTTAGACTTTAAAAAAAAAACCCACACATAGTACTCGCCTCCTCAGAGCTATCTGTAGAATTGAGCTTGTGTCTTCACAATACATTATAAGACATATAGACGCCCTCTGGCCTTTAGGTTATTGGGCTGATACCTGACGATGCCAGATATTATTAACTTGTTAATACTTGTGTTTTTTGTTAATGAAGCTTTATTTATGAAATAATAAAATCAAACTCACTTTTTGCCCTCTACGAGAATCATGGAAATTCAATATCAGATTTCTTTTTTTTTAAATTAAAAGTTAATAATTTCTTTGTCTTGTCACAGGTTTACAATGAACAAGTTCGGGATTTGTTGATGCCGCGGGGAAACTTGCCCATAAGAGAGGATAAAACAGTTGGAGTGATCATTGCTGGTCTATCTCTACATAAGGTGAGAGCTGTTAGTCCCATTTATTGTGTTGGCTGCACAAGCTCTCTTATGAAATGAATTCAGAGACAGGTTTTGTTTATTTTTCTACACTAGCAAATACATGAAGTGTCTGGATTGTGTAATTTTTGTAAAATTTACCTTGAAAATTTAGTGAGATTTATGTTGGGCATGGAGGCCATTTACTACAGTACTAAAGATACTCAAAGTTTGACTAATGGTTAGATATTATGGTTAGTAAATGGTTTTCTAGAGATGGGATCGAAATTAAGGGGATAATATATATAATAGTGTTTGTACTTTTTTTTTTTTTTTAGGGGGGGGGGGGGGAGGTGTTCAGTTCAGCCTGTGAGGTACAGCCTAGGCTGGTTGGCTCTAGTTTTCTCAATGATAGGTCTGTTTTGGGGATACTTTTATTTTATCCCGGGGGGGGGGGGGGGGGGGGGGGGGGTTGAAACTGACTTTTAACGAAAACTAGTTTGTTAAGTTAAAAGATTTTTAAAACATACTGTTTATGTTTTATTGAGCAGGCCCACTTGCTAGATGAAATTTTTAAAACTGTAGAATGAGGTCAGTTGGAGTACCAGTGTAGGTATAGATGTTTAATACATTTTATACACATTATGAATTTTTGGTTCCCATTAATTTTCTTTAAAGCCAAAGTCTGCTGAAGAGTTGCTTCACATGCTGCACTTTGGCAACAAGAATAGAACACAGCATCCAACAGATGCAAATGCGGAGTCTTCCAGGTCCCATGCAGTGTTCCAGGTAAGATGATGTGGAGTGTCTGTGCTGTACATTATATATTTAAATTGTGTCTTTAAATTTACCAAAATCTGGTAATGGTAGGTGTTCTTACTCTTTGTTTTCATTTTGTTGATTACCAGTTTGTATTTTGCTTTATGTGGAGAGCCTCCAGGCCGAGGCAAACATACCATCACTCACACTCAGACACACTAAACTCTCACTACAATACGCAATTAAACAGAGCTCAACACCAGAGAACCCAGCACAAGACTGCATTTTCAAAACAAACCCAACACCATAAAATTATTCAAAAACAACGAAAAACTCATCAAACCCTTCAGCCTCAGAGTCCTCGAGGACCTCAAAAACATACACTTTTCCAAACAAGACATCCAACAATTTATTTTCCCCGACCTCCCTCCGTGGTACCTCACCAAGGCAAAAGTAGACTTACAGCTGACAACACACAACAAAGCATGCACAAACACCAAAACATTTAAAGAAGAATGCAAAAAACTTCTAGAAAAATACCCTGGTGAGGAGCTGATCTTCACAGATATCTCTACATCGGACTCCACTGTGGGCGCCGCTGCCCTATCCTCAACACAGTTCACACCAGAGGAGACTCCATCCCGAAGCCTCCATTCTCTCTGCGGAGGCCACTGCCATTGACTTGTAGAAAATTCCTCCTACTAATCTTTCCTTATCCTATCTGACTCTGTGTCTTGCATAACCATCATTTACAAACTACACACCCAAAAATAGTTAGGTTACAACAAAAAAGTACTTGCTTTGACTGAAGGCGGGAAATGTATCGTGTTCGCATGGCTACCTAGCCATTTTGGCATCTGAGGAAACAAGCAGGTGGATCTCCTGGCGAAGGAATCCTTGTCCCTTCTGTTGGGGTCAACGACTAACACTCTCCCACAGACTGACTTTAAAAATAACATAAAAAACTATACCTCCAGTCTGTGGGAGACTCATTGGAAGAATCAAAACAACAACAAACTACACAACATTAAGCCCAAACTGAGCCCACGAGAACCTTCTGGCCTCTCCAGAAGAAGAGACGAAGTCATTTTTACTCGATTACACATTGGACACATGTCCCTGACACATTAATGCCTCCT